AAGAAAATAATAATAATAATAATAATAATAATAATAATAATGCATTTTGAACAAGAGAGACCGGTGAATTTTTTTATTTTCAAAGATTGAACTTAGATTGTTGAATTTTTAACTTTCAAACTAGTGTCGAACTTTTAACTTTTAAATCAATGAATATAAGAAATCTAAATCCAATTCTTTTGGGAATTGGCTTAAGGCTAGGTGGTCCTAGTGGCTAGGGGCTCAAAGCAAGGTTAGGTCTACACAATAACATACAGGCAGGGTATGGGCTCGACTTGATAGGCTCGAAATATTTCCAGGTCAAGGCCATGGCCAACGCTAGTCTAACCTTATTAGAAAAGTTTATTAATATATGTTTTATTCATTAAGAAATGTTTTTATGTATAACATGGAGCCCAGAGGTCAGGGCCGAACATTTTTATGTGCTAGGTTTTTGGGTCGGGCACAAAGTGGGCTCCAAATGGTAATCTCGCACCTAGTATTACTAGGAGGTATTATTAGACACTTGGAAAGTTAAAACTCTTTCTATGTGGGGAAGATATACATTGATTAAATCCTTTTTATCCAACTTCTGAGTATATTTTATATCTTTATTTAAGATGTCAAAAGAAATCGAAAAGCAATTAGAGATAATTATGAGAAATCTCTTGTGGGGAGATGACATAAGGAAAATATTTCATCTAGTGAGTTGGGAAAAAGTTTGTAGACCAATGAAAGATGGAGGATTGAATGTTAGGAGACTGAAACATATGAACTCGGCACTTTTAATAAAATGGTGGTGGATGATCCTTATATAACATGAGGCTTTCTGGTTGCTTGTTCTGAGAGAGAAATATGGAATGGATTTGAACTTTGACCTCATTAAAAGTCTAAAAAATAAGACAAGTATGTCCCATGTTTTGAGAGGTATTGACTATGATAAATCTGTGTGTCTACGACAATTCTGAAAAATAATAGGGAATGGATAATCCAGTCTCTTTTGGTTTGACAAATGGATCGGAGATGACCCGTTGAGATATATTTTCCCTGAGGTTTTTTCAAAAGCTTTAAAGCCGTTAGCATCTGTCAAGGATGCTAGTGAGGGTATTTATACTAATATTGTTTGAATCATTCCTTATAGGTATAGGAGAGGTACATATATATTCATTGAGGAGTATCAAACATTGTTAGAATTATTGAATGACACATGTTTGACTCTAAATATAGATGATAACTTTATTTGAGATCTTACCCCTTTAGGAGATTTTTTGGTTAAGTCAACCTACAATCTATTATTTTCTGATCGTCGAAAAAAATTGGATACTGGTTTATTCAATATTAAGAAATTGCATGTGCCTATTAAAGTGCATCGATTCTTATGGATCATGTGCCAAGATAAATTAGCAATTGTTGACAACATGAGAAAGTGGGGTTTATTATCACCAATATATGTATCCTATGTAAAGACAGTGATGAAACTTCGCACAATCTTTTCCTCTCATGTCTTTTTGTTATATTTCTTTGGGATTGGGCTCGGCAATGCCTCAATCGGTCATTACCTTTGCCCCAAAATGTCAGAGATCTTATTGACCAATAGATCACACAAATATTTCAAAGATGTGAACTATTTTTTGGAGATCTATTTGGGTTAGTCTTCTTTGGAGTGTGTAGAAGGAAAGAAATAAAAGAGTATTTGATGGTATAAATACATATCTGTTTACATTAAAATCGAATATTTTGGCAGTTGCAACTGATTGGTTCATTATGCATAAGGATAATGGCTTTATTCCTAAAACTCTTATTATTAGCAATCCCTTGGCAACAATGACTATGGGTTTTACCACCCACACTCGTGAATTCCTTCAAACTTAATTTTGATGTATGTTCACTTTGCAATCTGGGGCCAGCTGGCTATAGTGGTATCATCAAAATAATTTGGGGCACATTATTTTTTCTTACTCTGGTCCTTGGGGTATCACAATAACAAATGAGGTGGAAGCACGAGGTTTATTAAAACGTTTGGAATTGTTATACACTTTGGAAGTGGCAGGATTATTGAAAGAAACTCGGCAAATGTCATTGTCTGGAGTAAGAGAAAGCCCAAAGAGAAAAGCCCATACTCCTTGGAGATTAGAGACTATTTTTATCAAATTTAGGATATATTGTCAACCTCTATGGCAACGGTCCAACACTCTTATAGAGATGTGAATGAAGTTGTTGATATTTTTGCCAAAGGAGGAGTCTATACTCCCTCTCTGTTGGTTACTTCATTTATGTAATCTTGTGTCTTGAGCATCTTGTATTTTACATTTAAATTAATGATAAGTTGTATGTTACCATTAAAAAAAAAGAAAAAAAAGTAAGGGTTGTTACGTGCCGGGCTAGGCCTGGCCTCAGCCCTACCCTTGTCCCCGTAGGGCCATGCAAAAAACAAACGAAGAAGAATAAATAGAAAATTTTTTTTTTAAAAAAAGAAGAAGGTCGAGCTACGCTGAATCGGACCAGCATAGGCCCTAACTCAACCCTCATACCACAATGGTTCAGACCCTAAATTTTTAAAAGCCATGCAGACCGGCCCAGGGCGCCCGGCTCATTGCCAGCCCTGTAGGAGGGATTGGGCCTTTCTCGGACAACGCAAACCCGGGCTGCAACGTAAAAATATCAAAAGCCAAGTCGGCCAGGAGGAAAAACCTGCCCCTCCGGGTCCCAATGTTCGCGGGCGTACTTGTACATCACGTGGCGTCATAAAAAACTAAAAAAAAAAAGGGCGCGGACGACGTAGAATCAAACGTTTTCGTCAGCGAGAATCCCGTCGTGCAGCGCAAAATGTCCACATATGCGAACCAGGGATGAAAATCCATTCTTTGTCCCTATCTCTCTCTCTGTCCTGCTGTACCGATTGATATATGAGCAGGGGAATAAAAGTATTTACCGCATTTTTCTTTTCCCCCCTCTCTACCCAGCTCTCTCTCTCTCTCT